CAAAAGGAGTATTTTTGACCTTCTAGAAACTTGGCAAAACAGACTTTTAGACAATCTAATATTTGTTGTCACTTTTTCTTTGTTAATTTAAATTTATAAAAAAAATTCCATTGTTCTTTTTCTCTTGCTTGGTAAGCAAGGATAATAGAATGTGCAAAAACGTCCCTAAATGATTTCATTATTCAGTGTTTGCATTTATTTCAATTATTCTACTTTTGAATGTCCATGTTCGCCTCCGTTCTCGTTCCATTTCTGTTCAATTATCTTTTTTTTTACTTTAAATTGTTTCTAGAAAGCAATAGAAATAATTTAAGAGGAGAGAGTACAAAGAGTGACAATTTTTTTTTGTGTGTAGGGATAATAGTGCCTTCGGTCCCACAATTATTGCTAGATTTTAATTTTAGTTATTGTGATGTTTAACTAAGCATATTTAAACTTCAACTAATTCAAGTGTGTGATCTGGCCCCTATATTTGTGATTTTCACAAATTTACTGAATATTAATTGTTAAAATATTTAATGGCCTATGTGTTATGTTGATTTGCATTGTTATTCCAGAAATTGAGAATAATGTAACGACCCAGTCGGTCGTTTCATGAGTTACCGTTCCGTTTCCCCCATTTCTACTTCTTATTGCCTTATTCAGCTGTATTTTGTGTTATCGGGTTGGTTGGCTCGAGTTCGGAGAGGTTTTGGTAAGGTTTGAGACACTTAGTCTCTTTTGAGGAAGCTTAAGTTGGAAAAGTCAACGGGATATTGACTTATGTGTTAAAGGGCTCGGGTGTGAGTTCCGATGGTTCGGATAGCTTCGGGAGGTGATTTGGGACTTAGAAGTGTGATCGGAATGTGTTTTGGAGGTCCGGAGTATATTTAGGCTTGAATTGGCGAAATTGGAATTTTGGCGTTTTCCGGTTGATAGGTGAGATTTTAATATCGGGGTCAGAATGGAATTCCGGGAGTTGCAGTAGGTCTGTTGTGTCATTTGGGATATGTGTGAAAAATTTCAGGTCATTCGGACATGGTTTGATAGAGTTTTTTATCGAAAGCGGAATTTAGAAGATTTTGGAGTTCTTAGGCTTGAATTCGATGCAAATTTGGTGTTTTGATGTTGTTTCGAACGTTCCGAAGGTTGGAACAAGTTTGAATGATGTTATGGGATAGGTTGGCATGTTTTGTTGAGGTCCCTAGGGCCTGGGGTGAGTTTCAGGTAGTTAAACGGATCATTTCAAGTTGTGAAAAATTACAGAAATCTGTTGTTGAGTGTTGCAGACTTTTGGCCTTTGTGTTCGCGAGTGGGCCCTCGCATTCACGAAGGGCTAGAATGTGAGGCTGAAGATTTGGCCTTCACGTTCGCGAAGGGCTAGAATGTGAGGCTGAAGATTTGGCCTTCGCGTTCGCGAGGGAGGTCCCGCGTTCGCGAAGGGCTAGGGTCATTGAGCTACGCGTTCGCAAGAGGGGAGACATGTTCGCGAAGAAGGAAAATGTGTTCAACGTCCGGTTGTACTTCGCGAACGCGAGGCTTTGACCGCGTTCGCGAAGAAGGATTTGAAATGACTGTGCAGAATGTTTAAAAGACCTATTCCGCGATTTTAGCCTAAGTTCCTCCATTTTTTGGCGATTTTTGAAACTTTTTGAAGGGGATTGAAGAGGGAATCAAGGGGGAACACTTGGAGGTAAGATTTATGGACTTAATACTCAATCATAATGTGTTTTCTACCTAATTAATCATGGAAATTGTTGAATTTAAGCTTAAATATTGAAGAACTAGGGCTTGTAATTGGAGACCTAAAATTAGGGATTTGAGGGATCATTTGTGGTTGGATTTTGGTAATTTTTATATGAATGAACTCGGGGAGTGATAAGGAGTCTATTGATGTAATTCTTATCGGAATTCGAGACATGGGCCCGGGGTTGGGTTTGGACAATTTCGGAATTTGTGTTGTAATTTGATTTCTTCTGAGTGGGTTTTGTTCCCTTAGCATATTTTGATGGTTTTGCACTGATTTTGGTTAGATTTGGAGTATCCAGAGGCCGATTCGAGAGGCAAGGGCATCGCGGGCTAGAGTTCGGACCGGATAGAGGTGAGTAATGATTGTAAATGTTATCATGAGGGTATGAAACCCCGGATTTCACATCGTTGTGCTATATTGAGGTGACGCACATGCTAGATGACGAGGTGTGGTCGTGCGCCGTTAGGAGATTGTGACTTAGTCCATCCCGAATGACTATTTTACTGCGTATTTGATTGAAAACTGTTTGCTATCATCATGATTTGGGTTGAATGCCATATTTGGGCCTCATACCAACTATTTGGATTCTTAGGGGATTTTTACTGCTATTTCCTTACTGTTTTGATTTTATAGTTGTACTCAGTCATGTTATATTATACTGTTTTTATAACTCAGCCATGTTTACTCTGTTTTAGTACTAAATGTATTTTGGGATTGAGCATCATGTTTTATTGCGCCCGAGTGGCTTTTAGTGATTTCTGACTAAGTAGGGCCGATGGCCTGTGCGGTGAGGATTATTATGGTATCAGGCTGCACGCCGTAGCAGTATTGTACTGATTATGATTTTGAGGCCGAGGGCCTAATTTGTACGCCACAGGGTGGCTTGATATGAGGTCGAGAGCCTATTATTATGCCACGAGATGGCTTGATATTACGCTTGGTCCATAAGAGGCCCCTCCCGGAGTCTGTACACCCCCAATGAGCGCGGGTACCCAGTGTGATATGTGATATAGCCCGAGGGGCTAGTGTTGTTCCATGTTGTTGCCCGAGTGGCTGATTTTGTTGATATGGTGTCCGAGGGGCTGATTTTATGTGTTTATCTTTTCTCGCTACTTTTCATTTACTTGTCTAACTGTTAAAAAGGTGTTTTAAAGGAGCTTATACTGAACTAAGGTATTTTTATAAGATTTTACTGTTTTATTGCCTTTTTATTGGTTTTACACTGTCTTTTATAGCATGTTGTTGTACTTTACGTGATTTCTTATCGCTCAGTCTTAATTTATTATTACTCACTGAGTTGGAGTACTCACTTTACTCCCTGCACCTTGTGTGCAGATTCAGGAGCTTCAGGTCCCGCCAGTGAGGGTTGAGTGCTCCCAGCAGGCCATTTGGAGTCCACTAGGTAGCTGCTCGGCGTTCACAGCCCAGTGTTTCTCCCTCCTATCTTACTTTCTGATTCTAGTCCTGTAATAGACTGTATAGAGTCTTTCAGACTCTTAGATACATGTTTAGAAGCTCATGACTGGTGACACCCCGATATCGGGTTGTGCTTGTTCCATAAATTATACTGTTTCAATGTTTCTTTTGGGATTTAATCATGTTAATGACTTAAATTGTGTTAATTGTTAATTGTTTAAACAATTAAATTGTTTAAAATGAATTGGGTGTTGTGTCGGCTGGCCTTGTCTTCACGAAAGGCGCCATCACGACCGGATCTGGATTTAGGGTCGTGACATAATTAGTTCAAAAAATAGTCAAATATAAGATATTTTTTATATGAAGTGAATTTAGTGATGGCAAATGAGCGGGTTGGATCGGATTTGAATGGGTTAAAAATAAGTTGAAAAAAAATGGGTTGGATTTCAACCCGCCCATATTTCATGTGGGTAAAAAATGGGTTGGGTGTCAAATAGGCGGATTGAATATTGGTTAACCCATCTTATATATGTGTAATATTTTTTCAAGTTCAATTTATAATTTTTTTTTGCTCAGATTATTTAATGACATAAGCTTAACTGGAATAATATATACTCTTCTTTACTAAATTTACTCAAATTTGACTATCATATAGTAAACTTAAGTTATTCTTCCACAAATATGCTTAATGAATTCAAGCAATATCACTAATAATATATGGCTCTGTGCATTTTTCACCTTGTTCATATATTGTGTGCAATCCATTTTGTTGAAAAAGAAAATATTTTTTTTTACATCATGAAAAGAAAATACTTATTTTGTTGAAATGAAAGAAAATATTTTATCTACATCATGAAAAGAAAGTATTTTTTATTTTGAAATGAAAGAAAAGGGAAAATGCATAAGTACTCTCCTAACCTATACCCAAAGTTCCAACTACACAATTTTTCTTTGCGGGATTTCTAGTACTCCCCTAAAAAAAAGTTTACCTTAATTATTTGGACCTTTTGTGCTGAGCTGAACTGCTACCCCAGTTAAAATACATGCGGTGTTACACACATAATTTATTAAAAATCGATGGGCCCCACATTCCATTCTCTTTTTTTTTATCTTTTTTTACCTCTTCATTAAAACATAACACAACAGACCTAAAAACTTTCCCCACTCTTTACACTCATCTTCCCTCTTTGATTCTTAACGAAATCATCAAGATATAAAAAAATTTCTTTGTTCTCTTGCAATTGGATACTAATAGATCGAAAACAAGTATAAAGCCCATATTTAATGGTTCGATTCAAGAAAGGGGATGTCATATTGGAAATCTAAACAAGAATAATGTTCTACGATTTTTCTTGGAAGGCTGTGCTTTTGATTCGTCACAATCCAAGAGCAAAAGTTAGTTCTTTACCGCATTTAATTACTTTTGTGTTATTTTAGGGGTTTTAAATGCTTTTAGTCATTGCGATTTTGTGATTGGCAGATTGAATTTGAGGTTTCTTGTCTGCATATTAACCTCAGAGATTTAATTGTGCATGGGTTCAGTGAAAAGTTTTGGTTTTTAGCAAATAAGTATTTTTATAATACTAATATCTATAGTTTGTTGAATTCTGCTGAATTTGATTTTATGGATTTTTTTTTGCTTTGTTTGCATATAGGTATGAGTGGGTTTGCTTTAATCACTTTAAGATTATATCATAGTAGGGTCTTAGAGTTTGGAAATAGGGAACCAAAATATGTTGGTGGTGTAATGAATGAATATTTGGACGTTGATGTGGATACCCTATCCTAGTTTGAGTTGAAGGATTATATTAAAGAACTAGGGTATAACTCAGGTTGTAAATTTAGTATTCGTCCATCTAACTGTAGCATTTTAGGAGATATTGATAATGACAGGGCTCGTTTAGCAATTAGTAAGTCTTTACAACATGGGGCTGTTTCGGAAGTATATGTGCACATTCCTGAGGAGGAATCTTGTTCAACTTTTAATAAATGGGCTGCTTTTAATGGTTCTGCTGCTCTTCCTTCAAACACTGTTGTTGCTCTTTCAATCAATGTTGTTGCTCCTCCTAACACTGCTGCTCCTCCACACACTCCTCCTCCAAATACAGTTGCTCCTGCAGATCCAATTGTTAAAAACTAATGTGTTGCTCCTAGAAATGGTACTCAAAGTGTTATGTTGGAAATGTTTGTTTTGTTATTAGATTATTGGTATTCAAATGTACCATTGAAGTGATTTATCGGAAATTATAGTAGTTTTCTTTATATGAAATTGGTTTGGATGTTCTGAAGTCGTGGTTAGTGTTGCTAACCAGCTGCTGCCAAGAGGCTTCTTGTTTTATTTTTTTTGCCAAAATTTGCTTAAACAACAACAAGAGCAGATTTGTCAACAGAAAATGATACCATGATATCAAAATGATGTTTCATTCTAATATAATACCAAAATAAAGTAGACAATCAAACCACATCTAACTTACCCTATCCGACATCAATACCAAATTGAGCTTCTATTACGACAACAACCAAAATGATCTTATATACCTACAATAACTAGCTTCATAGGCAACTCCATTTGATTTTTCTTCGAGTTGCCAAGTTGGATTAAGCTGCTAACATACACAACAACTACACAAACCATAATACACCAAATAAATTTTCTACACAAGTTCCTTCTATTTTTTCCCTTCATACTCTTCTCTTTCGAATCAATATTCTTTTTTGAATCTTCAAGCTCATCCAAGTGCAGCTTAAGAGGGTCGTAATTTTCTTCTAACTCTTTGATTTTGTTTATCAATCTTAGAAGAATAAACTTTGATCTTTCATTAGCTCTTTCGTTGTCTCTCCATTTAAAAAAACTTGCAAATTGTGGCTTGAAATTTAAAGAATACAATAACGACCCAATCAACATTAATTTTCAAATTAGTCGATAGGATTAGAACATGAACACATACCTCATAGTGAGTACAAGACCAAAATCGTCTTCCGGGATTTCGATCTGACCAAGAAGTTTGCATTTGCAGCAAAATACCATGTTTGTATCGCACTTCGACATTGAACATTAGATCATCTTCGTCCATGCACAATTTATTCCACTTGGTGTTTGCCATTTCTAACCCTAAGATTTCATAGACAGAAATTGGGGAAGAAATTAAAAATTCCTTAACAGAAAAAGAGTCAAACGGAGGAATTTACACAAAAAATTCACTTACCTCTTCAAACCAAAGAAAATTGGAAGTCAAAATCCAGCTTCAAAAGTCTTGAAAATAGCTGGTATAATGGGGAAGAAGAACGTTTTATATTTAGAAGAAGAGGTCTTCCAAATCAGCTTTGAGAACAACACGTGACCATTTTGTATAGGCTAAAGCCTTTTTTTATATTACTACGCGCTTGGGGAAGGTNGGGTAAGGGTATAGAGGGTGGGTTGGTGGGGATGGGGAGTAGAGTGGGGAAGATTGAAAAGAGTTTTGGAAAATGTTCTCTTCTCTTGATAAGGAAAATATTTTCTCCAATTGGAGGAAAATAAGTTCATAAGGAAAATATTTTTCAAAATATTTTAACCAACCAAACATGAAAAAATTAGAAAATATTTTTTTTCATACCAAACACACCCTTAAATATACTCTTGAGTACCTCTTTATCGAAAGTAATGTAGTACAAGTGGGGAAAAACATTCTCTTTCTTAATATGTACGCTTCAAGAACAAATGTAAAACTATACAAATTTGCTTTTACTTTTTAAATAATTTTTGGTATTCAAGTATGCAACTGATTAGAAAGAAGAAGAATACTAAACAATACTTACAATGTTTAGAAGAAAAAAAAAATACTCACATAGTTAACTATAGTGAGAGTAAACATACGAATGAAAAGGGGTTGGAAAACCTTTATAGCATTTTCAGTTTAAAAAATGGTGTGATGTATTTTGAGTAACAAAAGTTGGAAGATAACCCACTAGGCTAACCTATATTTACCCACATTTTACCCATGGATACTCATATTTCTACGGGTTGAATATGGGTTGAAGCCCAAATTTTATCAAATTTAATATCACTCATCCAACCCACTAAAATATGGGCAGGTTGAGTGAGTTGATAAAATATGACAGCACTAGAAGTGATCAAACTAATTTGAATTAGTTGAAGGTTAAATGTGCTTGGTCAAATATCGAGGACCAAAACGAAATTTATCAACACTGGAGGACGAAAATTCTTTTAACCCTTTTCTGTATGGGTAAATATATTATTTGCAAATTGCAGTCGGAACTTATTCCGATTTGTTTGAGGTTCTTCAACTTTCAATTCAATTGATAGAGGCAGCATTATATATTAGGAAAAGGGTAAAAATATCCCCCTAGTTTATGAAATATTTAAATTTTGTATTCCGTTATACCTCGGCGTCATTTACACATTATTCATTAGCAAATCGTCTGTATTTGCCATAGAACATAATGAGCTGGATCGCGCAAACTGTACTACCCTATATTCTCCTGCAATGACTAGAATTGTTTAGAGTTTGTAACTCTCGGATTATTCGCATTGTAATAATTTTTTGAGGCTATTCTTTAAATTCTATTATCGTTATTTACTAAACTAAATTTTGCCTTTAAATGTAATTCGATGAATGTTTGTTTCTGCAGACAAATAAAAAAAAATTCAAATAGTGGCGTGATGGAAGGCTATTTGTGCAAATGCACCCCAAACTTCTTCTAACGATCCCAACGGTGAATCTGATCGGGTATTTGTGTAAAAATCCCAATTACATATGCTATAACTTGTGGTGGATGACGATTCACTCGAAAGTTGGGCTAGATAGCCCGTTCAGCTCCTCCGCTATAGGTGCATTTGCATCTATACTCGCTTTTTGTGTCACGTTTTAAGTTGTGCCCGCTTTGCAAAAAAAAATTGCAAGCGTACCCGCTTTTTCGCATAACTTCAGCATACGGGGCTGAAGTACCAAAGGCAACCACGCAAAACTTCAGCATTCTAGTAGCCGGACCTGAAGTTCAGCTTTAGAGCTGAAGTTTTTTTTTTGTAACTGGCGAACTTCAGCTCTAGAGCTGAAGTTTTTGTTTGTAAGCTTCAGCTCTAGAGCTGAAGTTTTTGTTTTGTAACTGTCAAACTTCATCTCTAGAGCTAAAGTTTTTGTTTTGTAACTGTCCTAGAGCCGAAGTTTTTGTTTGTAACTGGCGAACTTCAGCCCTAGAACTGAAGTTTTTGTTTTTGTAACTGGCGAACTTCAGCTCTAGAGCTGAAGTTTTTGTTTGTAACTGGCGAACTTCAGCCCTAGAACTGAAGTTTTTGTTTTTGTAACTGGCGAACTTCAGCTCTAGAGCTGAAATTTTTGTTTTGTAACTGTCTATTTGGAAGCTAGCTTTAGAATAGGATCTGCTCAAATAAGCTGGGGATCCATCCATCAAACAACTTGCTAGTTTATTAAAATCTTTGGGGTAAAATCTTAGCACTGGGCTCAAGAATTTTTATGTGCTAACATACTCAATTTAGCTTTACAAGAAACAACTTTCACCTTAATAGTATTTATCAAAACTACCCCAAAAAAAGAAGTAAATAAATGCAAATTAATCATCCCTGATTGCGAGAACAAATAATGAGCTCCGTAATACGATTAAAATGCAAAGACATCGTCACTTAATAATGGTATCTTGATAGTTTTCACTCACAAAAGGAACTATGAAAAATAATTTCTTTTTTTAATCGTATAAAGGTACAAAAGAAAGTTTTAACTTCTATGCACCAACAGTTTAAAAGAAATTTTACCTAAAAAATAATCTGCACCAACAACAGAAGAAGAAAGAGAAGAAAACGAAGGAGGAGAATGAGGAGGAAAAAGGGGGCTGGAGTTATTTAAAAGTGGGTACAAGTTAAAAGTTTTTTAAAAAATAGGTATATATTAAATGAGGGCGACCAAATAAGGCGTCCCATGCAATTTTTACTCCGCTACTTGGGTTGGCCGACGACTAGCCCAATTAGAAGGGAAATGGGACTGTGGTTGGACCTACTAGGCCATTGTTTTTGTCATGTTTACTCCTACATCTGTTCGATATTAGCTGCTTCTGAACGTGTACTACTTAATAAATCACTATAAAAAAGTTCAAAAAAATTAAAATAACAAATCCTGAGAGAATTTAAAAGTGGAAAAAGATTAAAAAAAAAAAAAATCTCCTACTATAGGAAAATTTTAATTTTGCTCTTTAGTGTACTTTTTAGGTCATTCGAGAACTTACTATTAGTAACTCGTAGTAGTTTGTTATTGACTCTATCAAGTAGGGTTGGGCATATATCGGGTAAAATCGATAATCCGAACCGTTAATTATTTATTGGGTTATTGGTATCGGATTATTGGGTTAATGGTTCGGTAACAGTTTAGAATTTTTTCACTATTGGGTTATCGATTCGGGCATCGGGTTGCCAATTTTGTTAATAGGTTAACTGATAACCCAATAAGAATTTATAAAGTTACGACTTTACCCTTAAGTATATACATATGTTAGGGCTTTAGGTCATTCTCTCCTATTCTTTCTCATCCGCACTCTTCATCTGCTTCATCTTCATTCTTCATAGACCTTACTAGTTACACCTAGCGTAAGTCTTTAGTCTTATACATTAGGTTTTTAATTTCTATAACAAAATTCATCTTCATATTGGTATTTTTGACTGTTAATGATTCTTTATTTTTTTATTTTCGTTTCTTAATTTTGTGAGCTCATGTTATGCAAACTATAGCAACTACTAATTTCTCTTCGCACTTATCAATTCTTAATCGACAATCTTCGTCAGTTTTGGGTATATTTTTTAACATTATTCTTCTGTACAGTACGCTGAGCTTTGACAACAGGACAACATTTTCTTGCGTTCTAGGTGTTTTTTATTTCCGTATTAGTATTTCCCATGCACAGATCAAGGTTTTGCTCTATGGTTTCTTTTTCCCGGTTAGGCATTTGACAAATAACATCCAGTTTATCTTGGACCGGTAGTACTGTATAATGTTTGGACTTGTTAATTTTAAGGTAAAATTGCTACTACTTTGAATTATTATTAATGTATTTGGACAACTGTTGTTGAAGAATTAGTATTATTCCAGTTGTGGCCACTGGACCGAACGCAGAAATGGGTAGTATACTATATGTGAATTCTTTTTTTTTTGTTAACTCCAGTGAATTGTCTTCTCTTTTTTGTTTAACTCTAGATTGAGTTATCTTAACGGATAAACCGATAACTGAACCGATAATGATCGATAACTGATAACCTATATCTTATCGGTTCGGTTATCGGTTTATCAATTTTGTAAACCGATAATCGATATGCTAAACCGATAATATTCATAATCGAACCGATCCGACCGATGCCCACCCCTACTATCAAGCTCCGACCTAGAGGATAACATAAGGAAATTTCCAAATATAGTCAAAAGTAGATGACTATATTTGGCCCTTTTCTCGAAGTATTTTAGCACATGGAATATTGTAGAAATGATATCAGGTAGCCAATCTAATGGGATGCTATTTAGAAATTAGTCAGTGCATCCTATATTTTAATTTTTTAGTTCAATTTTTCAGGACAAAAATATCCTAAATTGTCCTAAGTTAACATTTTTAGTATAAAATTTCAGAACAAAATAAGTACTAGCTAATCACTAAATAACATCCCTAAAAATGACTATCTATACACTTGCCCCAGGAATCTTTCCGGTTCAAAGCTCCGTTAAAATCAAGGACACATACAAGACTTGTTTACCGTGAAAATAGTAATAACAATTAAATTTGATTTTGTGGTTCTAAAAATACGTGATCTATTTTTATGCTAGTTGTTAGACAATGGATGCTAAGTAAAAGATTAGAAAGCAAGATTATAGCTTAGAGGCGATATGATAATCAAACCAAACGGCTGGAGATCGGGGCATCGAGTTGTCGTATATGAGGCCTCGAGGTCGAGTTGAGTGGCCAGCTTAGAGCGATCGAGAGAGGACTAACAGTTATGAGAGCTGCGATGATGGCTCTTTATGATCAATGATAAGCAATAAATGATGAACAATAAATAGAACACAATGAATATAAGCAATAAATGGAAGTAATGGGATCAAGAGAATATGTTAGAGAGCAGAGAGAATGTTCTTGTATATTTAATATTGGGTATCAGATTTTCTTACAAAATGACAAGGATCCCCTTTATATATGAGGGAGAACCCCAACATAGTACAAATGTATTTATTACAAAGTAAGGTAGCTGGCACAACTACCTA